AAAGTGCAAATGAGGGAATTAATTGTAAAGATCAGAGAAGAAATTAATGCTATAGAGTGTAAGGAAAAAATACAAAGCATTAACAAGTTAAGAGTTAGTCTTTGGAAAATTAAATAACACAGACAAACCCTTAGCCAATCCTATCAACAAAGGAAAGAAAAGACTCAATTCATGCAAATAGGAATGAAAAGGGGGAAATCATGACAGATCCAGCAGAAATCCAGAAGATCATCAATACCTACTTTGAAAACCTGTACTATAATAAGATGGAAAACACAGAAGAAATGGACAGATTCCTAGATACATATGAGTTACCAAAGTTGAATCAAGAAGATTTAAAAATTCTAAATAACCCAATATCAGTCAATGAAATTCAAGAAATTTTTTTAAAGCTACCAACAAAGAAAAGCCCAGTTCCTTGTGGATATACTGCTGAATTCTACAAGAAATTTAGAGAAGACTTAATGCCACTAATCCTCAAACTCTTTAATGAAATTGAAAAGAAAGCAATACTCCCCAGCTCATTCCTGGAAGCAAACATTACCTGATACTAAAACCAGAGAAGGACCCAAGCAAAAAAGACAACTTCAGGCCAATCTCCTTAATGAACATAGATTCAAAAATCCTCAATAAGATATTGGCAAACAGAACGCAGCAAGTCTAGATTATACACCATGACCAAGTAGGATTCATCCCAGGGTTGCAGCTATAGTCCAACATACGCAAATCAATAAATGTAATACACTATATTAACAGAATCAAGGTCAAAAATCACATGATCATCTCTATAGACCCAGAAAAAGCATTTGACACAGTCCAACACCCATTCGTGATTTTAAAAAGGAACCCTAAAGAAAATTGGGATAGAACCAGGCTTGGTGGTGCACACCTGTAATCCCAGTACTTGGGAGGCTAAGGTAGGATTGTCACACGTTCAAGGCCAGCCTGAACTGCACATTTGACCCTGTTTCATAAAAAGAAAGAAAAGAAAAGAAAATTGGAATAGGAGGTCTTTATCTCAATCTAATAAAAGCCATCTCTGTAAACCAATAGCCATCTTCATACTAAATGGTCAAAAACTGAAAGCTTTCATTCTAAAACCAGGAACAAAAAAAATGATGCCTACTGTCACCACTCTTATTAATATAGTTCTAACAACTTTAGCCAGAGCAATTAGATAAGAGAAAGAAATAAAAGGAATAAGGATAGGAAAATAAGAAGATAAATTATCATTATTTTCAGATGACATAATACTCTACA